TACTCGCACGTTTCTATGCTGCGGTGCGCGTTCGAAGGCAGTACCGGCGGTGCTAGAACGGTTCCCAAGCTGGCAACGCCGAAACTGCCAGCAGCAGCGTGTGTTGAACGCATTGAAAGCGCGTGCCAGTGCCTGTACCAGCCAACCATTGCCCGCTGCAGGTGGTCGCCCAGACGTCTGGTCGGGCAGCGTTGCGGTGTTGGTAGCGTGTTTTGGAAACTCTGTATCGGGTGCTGATCCAAGGCCACGTGGAGTGGGCGCGGTGATGGGCGTCACGCGAGCGCGCTCCGGCACGCGCTATGACTACTGACGCGACTGCGAGTCGCCGAGGTCGCCGGCTCTTGTTACCGTTTGCGGCGCGGTCCTGCGCGTGACGGCTGAGCGGCTGGCACGTTTGGCCCCAACGTGGGGACCGGGTTCGAATCCCGGTGGAGCCCCGGCCGATTGGCGCTAATTTGATACTTGCAATCGCCGACGCTCCATAAAAGGGTCTCCATAGAAGGGATCGCGGCCCGTGCCGGCCATCCCATGTGCAAGCGCAGCGCAGCGCCATGGCTCGCGCTGCCCGGCCGGACCCTGTCATCGGCAAAGTGCCACGCTCAGGCCAAGCTTGGGCTGATCGACTTGTGTTAATTGATATCGTAAACTCGATTGGTATGGTATAAGTCATGTTATGGTAACAGCGCGGCCATTTTGGTGATAAGCATTGCACAGCGCTTCGGTCAGTTTTCGTCATCCGTTTATCGTTGGTCGAACGATGCGTCTTTTGAACTGCAATTTCCCTGTCATGGATGTTGCTCATGAACCGCCTCAACTACAGATACAAATGGACCTGGGTCGTTGTTGAGTGCATCATACAATCACCCGGTTGAAGGGACATTTCCTCCTATGAGGCCTAAATTTAACGGTGCTCACAATGCCAGATGGGTTTGTCGGGATTGGGACATCGAGTTCTTTTTCGAAAATTGTTCTCGTAAAGCTTAAAATTACTAATTGAAAAGGCTGTCGTCATGACGTTATATCCATGTTTGCGAACTGTATTCACGATAATGACGTCTTGAAATGGTTATATGATTTTACGCGTCTTGCTTTTGTTTCCAAAAAGTTGGCAACGTTTACCCACCTTGGTTGCAAAATTACTGCATTGGTGAGCTATACGCACAGTAGCACGCAGTAGACCAGTTCAATCGAAGAAAACAGATGATGTCGAAGACACCGAATTTGTTCCAGGCGCCGCGTCTGTGGCTTTTTCTCTGGGTATGAACGCCTTTATGAAGACGCTTGCCAAAAGTCGCAACGCTTCAGTGCTGCAGATCTGGCGTCTTGGGGTGCGAGCGGCCAGACCGGCCTTATTTGTTATGAAGACAACGTTCAGACTCGAAGCAGATCTTGTGGGTACGCACAGCCCGCGGCGAATGCTTTCGAGGTGTTTTTTGGAGCTGATTATAAAGTACAGTGGCAGCTTATGGCAAATACTTTCCAGATGTTAAAAAGCGATCATGGCTCACTGGTGTTATAGGTGACGGTGCATCATCCCTTGCTGCGGCACTTGATTTAAATAATTATTACGGGCCGTGTATGTGAAAGTCCTGTGAAAAGTATATGCACGTGCTGAATTTTTATCAGTTGAAATCCTTGCTGCCTGTTCAAACATTTGCATGTCGCGTCGCGTCAGTCCACATCGGTCGATCATTTCTGTAGCCTTACAGTCAACCAGAAGCAGGCGACACGTTTGGCAATGAGCATCGACATGTGCGCTCTAAATCCCGTAGCTGTTTTCACACGTTGTTTTCATGAGGCATGATGTGCATTTAACACGGCTCGACCTAGCGACATACGATTGCGATTTGACGATCCCGAAATCGCCCGAGCCTTGGGGCCGTTCAGAAGCAGTGTGCAAGGTGGGTGCCTTGGCTGGTCAGTTGGCATCGGCATGACTTTGATGGCAGTGTGACGCTAGTGAACGCCTTCCGCCTACCGGAAATCTGCTCGCAGAGTTCTGAATCAGTTTTACGGAAGTTGTCGATGTGGTTTCTGCCGGTCGCGGTTTCGAGAACCAGTTTCACCGAACCTTAAACGGCTAGTTGGGTCCACTTTGTCCTCAAAAGGTTATGTCCTTACACCTCCGGCAGGCCCATGGGCTTACATGGGTCGTGCTAGATTCTCGTCGAAGGGTCTGAACTCGACGCCCAAGACTTCAGATCGCCTTGTGCACAATGGTGTGATACTTTGCGAGTGTTTGTGTGCATATGTGTGTCTGTGGGCCCATTGTGTTCCGGCGTCTCTGAGCCCTTTCCCTGTCCGTGCTTCTCCGTGTTCTCTGCCTGCTTCGGAACATTTGTTAGTGGCCGTGTGCTTATATGTCTTGTTTCCATTTCTAGTAATGTGTCTGTGCGTGTGTATTGAGGAGTGCCACTGATTCTAACCCAGTCCCCGTCCCCATCCCTTCCTCGTCCTCGTCCTCGTCCTCGTCCTCGTCCTCGTCCTCGTCCTCGTCCCCCTCGTCGTCCCCGTCTCCGTCCACGTCCCCGCCCCCGTCCACGTTCCCGTCCACTTCCCTGTTCCAGTGCTTATCCCCATTCTCATCCGACCCCTATCACCACCCATATCCCATCCATATCCCCGTCCTTCCCCTGGCAGTCATGTCCGTCCCATCTCCCTCGTTGCGGCCGTGGCCGGGACCGTCCCTGAGCCTGCGTCCGCGCGGTCCGTCCGCTCTCCGGTCGGACCTGAGCACCGCATAAGCCCCGCGGGGGCACCGGCTTCGGCCGGCCGGTCCCGCCTGTAGCCACACTATCGGCCCAATCGATTGGGCGCCGGCTTCGATGGCCGCTTGGGACCGGGCCAATCAATGCCTCGGTCAGCGGAGGCGCGGCCGGCCGGCCGGCCCGCCCGTGAGGAAGGGTGTCGGGCGCGGCCGCCGAGCGGGGCCGCTCCAGCGGGGGTGAGGTTGCTGCCCATTTGCCGGTTGGATGGTGCCGTTTCTTGAGGGCCTTGGTGCTGCCGGCCGCAGCCGGTTCTCGGACGGGCACGAGCGCGGGCCGGTCCGAGGTCTGCCAATGAAACTATGGTCGGGAAACTGGAGTTTGTGGCGATAAGGCCAATCATTATTTTAAGAGTCTTATGTGTCAGTTTCAGTCTTACAGTTGCATCTTCACACTTGTTTGATGCTAACGGTTTACTAACTAGCTAGGTAACTAACGATGAGAGTGATAGTTCGTACGCGACTTCAAATGTTGCTGATGCATTCACTGCTTCTGGCATTACCGTAAGCCTATTTAGTTGTCACGTGAAATTATGTGGGTGACTCCCATTTCAGTCACTGCCAAGCTTTCAGGCTAGCACTCAAGAGTTCCATAGAACACGTCTGCTATGCATAATCATGGAAACACACTATTGGGAATACAACGTGCTTGATGTGCCTCATGACAGAACGCTACGGGTCGTAAAACATGCAGCTTAATTTCATGTAATCACGTTGCAGTATCGGAATTTGCATTGGTGTGGAAAAAACAAATTGCGTCAATTGACGCAGTTTGCGCCCACGTACCTTCACATGTCACCTTTCGCTCGCAACACGCTTGCCTTTGCTATGTCAAAATGTGGTACAACACATGAAAGGTTTCCTCCAGTGACTTCATGACTGCCTTATATGACGTCTTAGTTTGAAATGTCACTTTTCTCTGCTATATGGTGTGGTTTTGTGTTAATACTTATGTACTTTCAGGACATGATAAGCAACCCTTGACCAACCTTTCGTCCTCAGGCAACTTTATTCAGGCACTGTTAATGGCTCGTGAATAAGCTCAAGTTCTTTTAAGCTCTTCAAATGGGCTGCTTTATCGAACAAATGTTGTATCGAGATAACTCGAGATACGAGATAATGATGCCTCAGTGATGCCTTTCAACACCTCGAGGGCCCTGGCGGCTCTTTCAGCACTCTTGGGGACAAATGATGTCCTTCACCGGTGTTAATCACCGCGGCTCCAGCTGGAAGATGGGCTTCTTGGCTCACCGTGCCGGTCTTCCCGCAGATGACGTCATCAAGGAGAAGGTGCGCCAGTACCTCAACTCGACCAACACGATGGACAGCCTGAGGTCGGCCATCACGCAGCAAGACCTGGCGCACGTGCGCGACGTTGTGGCCATGAAGTCGCCAGCCCGACGCCAGGGACCCGTACTTCACTCGCCGCCCAAGCCGCGCGTGCCGCTGGTGCACAGTCCGCCCAAAGGCCGGGCGCGCCCGCTGCCGCCGCCCGGTCCGCCCGGCACCAACGGCGACACGCCACGGGCCAACGGTGCCAACAGCCACGAGCGGCCGCGTTCGAGACGTTCACGATGACGGGCGACATGATCCTGAACCTGTCGCGCACGCCGCAGTACCCGTCACCGGTGCCGCGCGCGCAAAAGACGCCTCGACTCGCTGCGCGGCGAGGAGCGAGGGGCGGTGGTTCCGGGCGGCGGCGAGGGACGCGTGAGTGTGACGGGCGGGGGCTCGGCGCCGACCAGCCCCACGCGAGACGGGCCGGCGGGCGGCGGCGAGGCCCGGCTGGTGACGCGTGATGACGGCGCGCCGCCGCCGCCGGCCGTGTCCGGCTTCCGCGGCTCGCGTTCCGAGGACCGGCCTGCAGGCCGGCCCCGCCCCGACAGCCGGCCTCGAGACGCTGGCGGCTCTTTCAAACACGCTGGCTGGACACTAGCGAGCCGGGCCGAGCGCGACGGCCAGCGTGGTCTGGACGGTGGAACGCGCCGAGCGGACTCCTGTGCCTCGCGCGACCGCTCGGTGAATTCGCGCATCTCAACGGCCGTGGTGACTCGGAAACGGGCGGTCGCGTCGTTCCCCACAATGGTGGCAGCGGTGGGATCGAGAGCGGCGGCTCGCCCACCTCACCGCCGGACGGTGCGCCGGCCGGCTTGGGGTAGCTCCGGTGGCGGCACGCCCACCTCGCCGGACTCAGAGGAGGGATCGGACATCGAGAGCTTGCACAGTTTCCACTTCAGCCCCAAGGCGGTGGAACTTGCCGTCAGCTGTGCGGCTCGCCAAGAGGCTCTACCACCTGGACGGGTTCAAGAAATCGGACGTGTCGCGCCACCTCGGCAAAAAGTAAGTCCGGCTTGGACCGACAGTATGGGCGCTGCACGACCTACAGCAGTCGATGCGCCCTAAAACCCGAAACAGGGTAGGAAATTTAGTTGTTTTTTTTCGCTGGTGGCGGAGTACAAAAATTTTTGTGGTCGGAGTACAAACTTGCCTGCGGACAAAGGTCTGTCTAATGTGGAATGAGTGTCGGCACAATGGGGCCTTGCTTGGAGTACATTACATACTGCCTTTAATGGGTTAACATTTTCCCAGTGTTTTTCTGGCAAAAATTAGTGTCAGCATGCAATTTTGCATTTAAGTGGAACTGAGCACTTCTTGTGAGTGAGGGCGCCACGCTGATCTTATCCATATCCCTGTAGTGCTACTAGCTCACCTATACATGCAAAGATTGAGTAATGGCACATGTTTATAAAAAAAAATATACAGATAGAGGTTAACAACAAAGCTTTATACACATGCATTCACAGGTGCATCATACAAACCTCAGTTACACATCATTACCTATCTATATGCAAACTTACACAATATCAAAATGATAAATCAGGTGCATCCTCTGCTTACTGACAAACTGAATTGTGGACAACCACTGTGCATCACACCCTGTTTTTTTAATGAGTCTTAGGCAGATGCAACTGACTATGAAAGCCTTATGTATGTAACATCACTAACATGTGGTCCTTTTGGTCTTTACATAATTAATATAAACATACCAAAAGTGTTCCTCTTCCTATCCTTCTCTTTCTGCTCTTCTCCTCTTTCAGTTTCTCACCTTCTCTTTCTGTCACTCTTTTCCTTCCACTCCTCCTCCACTTCTGCTCCTCCTCTCTTCCTGCACCTCCTGTTATCCCTCTCCTCTTCTCCAAGTTCCCTATGATCCTATGCAGGGAAGATTGTAATAGTGTCACTGCAGGACCTTATGCCTGACAGCAAGGAACATGGCAGCACTGCCACCTGTGAGGTTACAGCAATTATAACCACAGGCTGAAAAGAGGCCAGCCTCATATCTGATCCCACATGGGAACCGCAAGCCTAACATTAATGTTGTATATAGATACCTTAGTACCTACGCACCTACCCACCATGCTGTAGGTAGAGCAGGTTATAACAAGGTGATCCTGCACCGGCCTGCAGTGGTTAACATTTATAGATCAGTCCCCCGGTATTTATTTACCTTTTTTGGAATGACTTGATAGCGGTCCAAAACTAAATCCCATGTAACTTTAGAAGTGTGGATGCATGCTGCGTGAAAATTGAAGACAACGAATTCCACTTTGCCTCGCAGAATACCTCAAACTCGCAACTACGATGCACATAATCCCAATCAGCTTCGGTCACCCTCCGGGCCCCTCACCCCCACCACATCAAGACAAACAAACAAGCCACGCACAGGAGTTCTGGCGCACTCACAGACATTGTGATGGCATTCTAGCACTCGTCAATGGCCCAACCAAGTACAAGTACCACGGGTCGGTCCTGAAATGACAGGCTGTGATGAATGGTCTAAGAAAAGCTATTTATGCAGTTGCACCAACACAAATTGTTAAGTTTGTGGTAGAAAATTCATAGAGCTTTACAGCCATGCATTTCAAGTTGCCATTTTCCACCTACAAATATATCTTATCTTCTGGTGGCGCAAGACAACGCCGAGATAATGCAGTACCTATACTACAAATTGATAGATATTTCTCATTCTAAGGCATAGCATGTCATTTCAACACCCTCTGAGGAAGGCCCGTGTCTGGGCGATACCAAAACACGTAAATTTTTCAATTAAATTTGGCTAACTTTGCTAAAAACTTGCTGTTCTCCGGCTTGTACTCCGGCTTGTTCTCCCCGGGTCTCCCCATAGGCCCCATTGTGAGAAGAGCAACCAAGTACTGCGATTTTTTCCCACCGGGTTATGGACCATCTCTATCTCACAAGTATAGGTACTGGTTGAGCCTGGAGACGTGATACCGTTGTTAAATAATTAAGATATCCCCGAATCTTCAAAGACCGGCATTTACC